TGAGTTGAGATGAACTTAAGAGTACTGAGTTGAACAAAAAACTTTAAGAGACGATTATTGTTAGAATGTCTACGAGCAAGGTTGAATTGGATTATTTGATGCAAAAATGAACTCAACGAAAAGTTTTGGAATAAATTACTTTGATGATCAAGATCAAGAGTGAATGACTCTAGAAAATAGCTTGATTAAGACTACTTGAACGACTCTTGTATGTAAATCTAAACACAAAAAATGTAAAGGAACAAACTAAGAAGTATAGTATGCAACTTTCATTATAATATCCAAAATATTCGTACTAAATCAACAACATGAATGAATAAACTATGGTCAATTGAAAGTTGTAACTCGCATGTCGATTAATATCACAATGACCACCGACTAATTGTAACTTAAAACCTTAAAAATAATAATCTAAAATTAAAAAAATACAATCGTGTCATCTAACCTTGTACCATCTAATCTGAAGTTTTTGTGGCATGATTAAGCATCTTATTTCGTATCAGTCTCTCCTTCTTCAAGAGAATTCGTCTTCTAATCCAATTGATCCCTTTGTAACGCAAACTCAAAATCATTTACATTTCGCGTCTTAATTTTCTCGAGGTCTTCACTTTCATCTTTAGGACATGCATGGATGTAAAATCGAAATGGGAGTATCGCATCTTGTGTAGCTCATTGGTCTTCTTTTCCATGAGTTCGATATTGGCTCTTGAAATCATTATTGAATCTTGCTTGAATTCAATAATACACTTAAAATTGCAAAACCAATTAAAGTGCAATGAATTAGTAAGTGTCTAAACCAAACTTCGGGAAGCTATCATGCCGCTTCACTTAAATCAGTAAATTTTCTACACGGTGTTCGTGAGTTGGATTGAGTTAAATTGAGATATTTTTTAGATTCAATTCATTATTAGGATTACAAATTTTAATCTAAACCAACTCTTATTAAATAATAAACTCGACCAGTTAGATTGTTTCGATTCATTTATTCAAATTTTTGTTTTTAATAAAATCAAAATGTTAATTCGTAAAACATCTCTTTATTTATTTTCAAACAACCCAAATAATTTCATAACACAATCCAAACCATACCGATTAAGTTGAGTTGATCATAATTTTCAGATCATCTCGTTTTTTAAACACCCTAATATTTTAGAGTCGATGGGACGAAATTGATGGTATCAAAAGAAGATCAATACTCGTAGCCGTGAATATCCCTAGAATTAAAATACATCTAAAAAAACGACTAATAGGAATAATTACTTTTACAATTATTATTTTCAAGTCAACCACCAATNTTATATCTAACAAAAAAAAAAAAAAAAAAAAAAAAAAAAAAAAAAAAAAAAAAAAAAAAAAAAAAACACTTGTGTTAGTTTAGAAGTAACTAATATTTGACTTAATAAACTAAATAAACTAAATATATATGATGTTTGTGTTTTTGGATAAGATTATTAATCAAATATATTATATATATATATAGTTTTTGTAATAAATTTATATACATTCTTTGGTCAACATGGTGGTTGAAAGGCCAAACCAATTTTGCTGAAATAAGACGAAATTAGAGAATATTAATTATGGAGCTTAGATTAATCAATATATTGCTATTATTTTTGTTTCAACTTATAGACTTTTTATTTAACCTAATTAACAATTAATCATCATTAAACTCCACCTAATTTAATACGAATTAATTTAAATAATTTCAATTGTGTATCAGATATTTTTATAATATAAATTTTAAAGAATGCAATAATTAAATTGATAGTTGATTTTAAATTAAATAAAATTAAAATATTCTAAATTAATTCATTTAGGAAAGATTTAATTTATTAATTTGATATTTTAATAATACATCTCCAAAATTTTAGGATTTAGTTTTTTTTTTTTTTTTTTATAAATAATTTGAATGCATATTGTCTCTAGACTCTCTCTCTTGCTCTTTGACTGTGAGTTTGAGAATTTGTCTCGCAGGTCTCATGTAGCGTTCGTCTTCAGCTTCGAGGGTAATTAGATAAGTGAAATGAAGTCTCGATTTTTACACTTACATCACAGCGTTCGTCTTTGTTGTTCGTCGTTCGGCTTCTTAGTTCTCATCTCACTCTCGTCTTGTCTTTGTGTGTCGTCGGACGTCGATGTCGTTTGCATCTTTTTTTCTTCATGGACTCTCTTCTCAGTTCCCATTTCTTCGCTCAACTTCGTCTCTGTGCTTCTCGTTGGACATAGTCGCCGACTATCTCTTCGCACAACACTCTATTGTTTCACAATCCGAAAATAGAGGGTTAGATTAGGTTGGATTGTGAAAATTTTTGAGTTATGGGTTACCAATCCAACCAACCCGAACTTTTGGGTTAGTCCAAAAAAAAATCATCGACCCAACTCAATCTGGACCATATACACACTATTAATGCAATTATTTCTCTAAAATGGGCTGTTGTTCGGTTGCAAATGGCCCATTACATGTTCAAAGCCTCACTCAATGGGCCACTTTGGTGCAACTAAAAAAGCTCCCAAATTCTTTTCAATACTAAAAAAAACTAATAATAATAACTACGACTCGTATTTTATCTCGGTCTCTCGTAACTTTTGACTCCATATTTCCTTCTCTCCGAAAAAAGTGTCAAAAAGCTTTTGAAGACAAGAACAGACAGCGGTTGATGACTCTATATTTTTGTAATAATACGCTATTTTAAAAATTATTTATATATAAAAACAAAAATCCTTAACACCAATAATCATCGCCCATCAATATCTTAATTAACGATCAAACGTATAAATCAATCATTATTTTTTTAATTTTATTCAATAATTCATCTAGCTTTCATAAAAAATATAATTAGTCACAACCTAAAAGAAAATGTCCAAAATACCCTTATACATACATATACATATATATATAGATAGATGACCTACCCGAACAATAATGCATGGGTACCATATCTTATATGTATATAAGAGAGAAAATGCCAAGGGAAATTTAATGTCATTGCGCAATCTCTCTCATCTATCAATTCATAACTCTCAATAATTAGTTGGATTGCTTTTGTTTTTTGTTTTTTGTTTTTTTTTTTGGTTCAATTGGAAATAAATAAATGCAACACAAAACTTTGGACATAATATTATGATACATTTATTGTCACATCTCATTTCATATATTATAATAAACTTCATATATACTAAAATAACTTACAAATTATAATTAAAATATACGGATCTTACACAGCTGTCTGTTACCTCACTCCGACTTGATTAAAATTTATATATTTGGCATATATATTATACGAGCATCATTTTATTAGTAATAAGTTTAAAATTTTGAAAATATTTTCATATCCTTCTAATAATTGAAAATAACCAATTATTTAATTTTGGGTGTTAAAAAATTTAAGGACTCGAAAATTCCGAATTGAATCTAAAAAGATGTACGAATCCCCGACCCAATTCAATCCACAAACACATCTAAATCCAGTCTTAAAATTGAAGATAGAGTTTAACGTATTATTGTTTAAAAAAAATAGTCAACAAATATTAATTAAAGTTTTTAAGGTCTTTCCATTTATAAATAAATAAATAAATAAATAAATAACGTGAGAAGATACTTAAATTTCTATTATTATTTAAATATATTGCCATCAAATGGATATATTAGAATTGGTTTTAAAATAATTAATTGAGAGATTATCAAATTTTCCCAACAAATTTAAATATTTTTTTATTCTGTTGGTCAACAAAATTTTGAATTTATCAAATAAATAAATAAATATAATCCATATTATTAATTTAAAAAATAGTAAAAAAAAAAAAAGAAACATAGTAATTAAATATAATATAATATAATAAATATTTTTTTTTCTCTTTTCGACCATAAAATAAAAATTTCTTTCTTGTCAGTCACTGCACCCTCCAATATTTTAGCCGACAGCCTGATCCATACTTTTGCAGTACATTTTACTAAATGTCCTCTCTTTCAATTTATTAAATTTTAATTTTTAAATATTTTTTATTTATTCCATTTTTTTAAAATATTTTTACTTTTCTCAACAGACACTTTTTTAAAAGGTTGACAGCGATATGTAACGAACTAAAACGGATAATATCTACTAGTTGTAGTTTTAGACTTGAACTATCACAAATGATATTAGAGTTAGACACCAGATAGTGTGACTGCGAGGACATTGTCCTTAAGGGGGTAGATTACGAAATCCCGCATTTCTTATAAAAGTGTAGAAACCTCTCCACAACATATGCATTTTAAAACTGTGAGGCTAACGACGATACGTAACGGGCTAAAGTAGACAATATCTACCAGTGATGGGGTTGGACAGTTACATACAACCAACCCAACCCTATCCTAATTTTAAGATTATTATAAAAATTAAGAATATTTTTATCTTTGTAATCTATCTGAATAATGAACTGTGACGTGTGAATATTTGAAAAATAGAAAATTAGATTGAAATAGATTATTAATTACGTTCGTGTTGCTCGAGTCATCGATCTAATTAACTCAAAATTTAAAATTGTTTTAAAAATAATATATTTGATTTATTTCACGTTAAAAAAATGTAGGTAATGTGGGACAGTTATAATTAATTAATTACTATTTACCATTACCTTGATTTCCACGTACCCACGCATGCCCATTCTTTTCTTCTGCAGCTGAATCCAACTTTAGAACAATAATAACCTGTTCACACGTGGTGTGTCCCACGCCCCGCTGTCAGACCTACATCCGACGTGTCAACTTCCACTTGGCCCCCTTTCTTTTTCCCCTTATATTTTATTTTAATACTCATAATTATTTCATTCTTATTTTTAAAAAAATAGGAAATAAATCATTATGAAATTAACAAAAATATAAATTTATCTAAATACTATTTTTGAGAAATTTATAATTCTGTCTCACAAATAACTAAAAAAATAATTTCTCTTAATTATTGCTAGATCTCAAATAATTAAAAAATAATTTAAAAACACAATATTAAAAAAAATATAATAACTTTTTTTTTTTTTTTTTTGTTCTAAGAAAAATTAACATGGACGCTGGCATTAATGGCAGAGTCACATACAGGGCAAGTATGCAGTGTGGACCCACACATTGTACACAAACAAAGATGCCTACATGGCAACACTAACACCCTCGATTCCCCCGCCATACACTTCCGGCACCGCCTTCCACCGCCGCTCTCCTCCTCTGTTATTCCACAACCACTATTACTCCCACAGCTAGACTCTGCATCATTTGCGGCGGCGGCGGTGTCATTAGCGGCAGAAATCAACCGCTCCAAGTTGGTTCTGAGAGAATTGACGGTGGCTTCATTCGTCTCCGCCAAATCCCGCCATAGCTGATTCTCCATACACAGCCGTTTCACTCTCTCTTGCAATACCCAATTCAATTTCCCCATTCTTTCAATCTCCTCGTCTTTCTCCTTCAATTTCTTCACCAATCTCTCCTCTATAGCTCTCACCAACATTCCAGATTCCCTCTTCTTCCGAATCTCCATTGCCATTCTCACCTTCTCCCTCTGTAATTTCATTAAAAATAACAAAAACCCATTAATTAATTTCCCCAAATTTTCAAACAAATTCAAAAACAGAGGAACAGAGAGACCACTTACATGGATCGCAATAAACCGGTCGATTTCCGATTGCTGCTGCTGAACGTGGGAGTTAATGATTTCTTCATCCGACAACCTGCAAGGGAATGGACATGGCGGTTCCTCGTATCCCGACCGTCTCTGTCGCTTTCGAACCGGCGCGGCGGGGAAGTTATTGGAAGTCAATCCACTATCGGCGGGGAAATTGTTAACAATCTCCGGCACGGATTTCCCGGCAACATAAGGCCATAATCCGGCGGTTTCCACCGGCATCGTTTTGTAATTGTAGATATCAAGAACTTCTTGACTCTGTTTCATGAAATCTCTGAAACAGAACGAAACCCAGATGAGAAAAACAGAGTATAAGAGGAAAAACAGAGACCCAAAAGAGTTGCAGGTTAAGGCAAGCACCCATTGTTGGTGATGAACGGAGACGGTAGATGATTCATACGCCGTGCTTCAACTGCCATGGAAATTCAGAGAGGAAGGAAGGGGAAGTTTGGGTTTTAATTCAAGGGATTTTAAGAGAGAGAAACGAAGTCAATGAATTTAAGAGAGAGAGAGAGAGAGAGAGAGAGAGAGGGGGGGGGGAATAAATAAATAAATAAATTAATTAATTAAAAAGAAATGAGAAAATAATTATTTAAAAACCTTAACCAATTAGGAAATCCACATGGGGTGTGGCAGTTTTTTTTTTGTTTTTTTTTTTAAATTTTAATAAAAGAAAGTAAATTAAATTAATAAATAATTAAATATCCGGACCAATTTTCGGGGAAGGATGGAGGGGCAGTTACGGAATTTCAGTTTGACCACCGTCTCCTTATGGTACGTTTCAGAAAATCGAGACGGTCAGATAATAATAATAATAATCATAATTATTATTATTATTATTTTCAAGTTATAAGAGTTCTCGCTTAACGTGGAGATGACTGTGATTTTTTCGGCGGTAAAATCGGCCACGTGGCAGAACTAGGGTTGCCACGTGAGATGGAAGCCGTGTCCGAGGTGGTGGAAATCGTGTGGGGGAAATGGGACCGATGGAGGTGGCACGTGGGAATTAAAAAAGTAAAAAAAAAAAAAAAGTAAAAAAAAAAAGATGGTGGTGGTAGTGGGAGATCTTTTTTGTAACGACAATAAAAGCTGAGCCCTAAATGACACGTCAGTGGGGCCCACAGTTAGGCAATTGGGAGTGGGACCCACTACAAAACTTGCTGAGCAGTTTCCCTGTTTTGTTGCAATATTTGTTTTTTTTTTTTTTTTTAATAAATAAATAAATAAATAAGGGGAAGAGGTTGTGTCAGGTGAGTGCGTACGGACCATCTGGAGTAATGGGTCAAATCGAGCATGGGGAGTTGGAATCAGGTGTGGGACAGGTACACCAGAACATGGTGTGTCAAAGTCAATCATAAAATCCTTTTGACTTTTCCCACCAAAATGACCCATCCACAACAAACAACATCTACTGTTCCCTTTCCCCCTCTGTTTTTTACTTCCCCAATTTAATATTTCTACTCTTTGTTTCTTTTTTTTTTAATAAAATTATCTAAATTAGTTTATAGCGTGTAATTGAAAGTCGTTTACGGTCTATTAGGTCTTTCTTTTATATGGGTCGTTCATGACTTATATTGCTTACGTCACTCCAGATAGGTTGTTCGAATGTTTGTCTGATCCTTTGTTCGAAGGATTCTTCGATAATTTAGAACAACGGTTCAAATAGTTCCCTTCATACTAGTGCTGATAAGTTATTTGACTCGTTAATGTCTTGTTGTTTCGTATGTTCTTTGTACTAATAAAGCCGAGTGTTAGATGGACGCGTTAGGGTTTAGGGTTTAGAGAGCAGTTTGGTGTGGTGGGATGTCATTTTTTTTGTATTCTAATTTAATTGAATTCTTACTTTGAAGTTACTTGTGTAGCTTAGCTCAACATTCAATGAATTTCCTATCTCAAGAAATGATTCAATGAATTTCTCTTTGAAAGCAAACAAAATTATGTATTAGTTTTAATGTTTTTTGCAGTCAATTTGCTATATTTATTCACACACTCTTTTATGTCTGGCCTTTCATAAACAAAAATGTACATGTACCATTTTTATCCATGTTCCTCATTTGATATAAGAATATATGCATCTAAATGTTACTAATCTTAGTTCAAATAATCAAATTATTGAAATTTTTTTCGATTAATTCAAGCATGATTGAGTAAATATTACAGATAATTCGATCTTTTATCTCATTCAGTAAAAACAAAAAATCCTAACCATGAGATCTTATAAATGAGTGGAATTTAAAATCAAATCTATACGGACTTATCTTTAATATTTTATCACCAATTTGATCATAACTTAGCTGATTTAGGCAATGGTTGTAGCAGCCCAAACCAACCGCTAATAAATATTGTCCGCTTTGGCTCATTACGTATTGTCATCAGCCTTACGATTTTAAAATGCATATAATATGGGGAGGTTCCCACACCCTTCTAAAGAATGCTTTATTTCCTTCTTCAATCGATGTGAGATCTCACAATCCATCCCCTTGAGGGCCCAACGTCCTCGTTGACACACCACCCAGAACCTGGCTCTAATATCATTTGTAACAGCTCAAGCCCACCGCAAATTGTCCGCTTTAGTCTGTTACGTATCGCCGTCAGTCTCACAATTTTAAAACGCGTCTATTATGGAGAGGTTTTCACACCCTTATAAATAATGTTTTGTTCCCCTCTCCAATCAATATAGGATCTCACAACTGCCATCGGCTGAGATATCAGAAATTCTAAACCTTCAACCTAACACATCGTTGAATTAAAAACATTATACTAATTCAACTCTTAAGATTCAAACTTATGGTTTTTTTTTAGTTTAGGAAATACGCTTAAAACAGTTAAATTAGGCTAAGAACGACATTATAAATCAATCGAATAGTATTATTACCAAAAAGGGAGATGAAATTTCATATACCCTAATCTTGGAAAGGCATTGAAATTGACGTAAGTGTTGGAAGAAGTGGGAGAGTCACATGGAAGAGTCACCAACTTTGTTCAAAGCTAGCCAACATCTTCACAAATTCTTTTGAAAAAGAAAGCTTCAAAAATGGAAAGAGAATTTCAAAGGAAAAGACAATTAATACAAAAAAGCTTTAAAAATAAATAAAGGAGTTTTATTTGAAATTTGCCATTGAAATGCTACCATTGAGAAATGAAGACTTATGAGATTCCTATTGGCTTTTCTTTTTTTCCCTAGCCCTCTATTATTGCTCTTCTTAATTTCCCACTTTGTATCCCATTATTGATGGATGCAAAGTTTCTAAGAGATTTAAGTGTTCTTTCTTTAACATTCAATCACCCATTGTCAAAAAGAAAATGCACACCCAATTTCAAAGCTTAGATAGGAAATTTCCATTGGGTTTAACCCAATTTTGATGCTCGTTACGTAGTTTTTACTTTCGAGATATCTAAATTCGGTAGTTGATGGCTCCGTTCCTAATCACGTTACCTATTTGTCTTGAATTACTTTTCACAGGAAAGACTATCTTCACATGTCAATATGAGTAATTCTAGCATCTTTTTGTCCTCACTCATGTTAAAATGGCTCGTGTTAGTTTGTGGAGATAACATTCACTTTTAGCAACAATTCAAGATAAGTAGGTAACATGATCATGTCGTAGGAGAATACCAAAACTATCAGGCGTTGTATTCAGATTCCAAAGCGTTAACTGATGTGGGACCTCATAATCCACCTCCCTTAACGGCTCAGTGTCTAGCTCTGATACCATTTGTAATAGTTCAAGTCCACTACTAGTATATATTATCCATTTTGACTCTGTACAAATCGTTGTCAGTCTCATGATTTAGAGAGTTTTCTACCCTCTTGTAAGGAATGTTTTGTTTCCCTATCTAACCGATGTCAGATCTCACATTAACCCTACAACGGAAGGTGAACTAGAAATAGAAAAGGAAAAAAAAAAACCCGAAAGATAGAAGGTTTTTCTTAAAAGAATAAAGGGAAAGAACAAAAAAAAGAATTAGATTCCCTTGATTTTGGGCATAATTCTTGAAAGATGTGTTATTTTCACAAGGATGTGAATAAAATTTTGATACTTTATCACATGATTTCTTTCCTTTTGAATGATAAACAATTAAATTTAATGTAGATGAGGATTAGATGAAGAAAGGGAAATATAATATGAATTTTGAGAGTGTATGGTATTTTAAGATATGGTTTGGATGAATGATTTTAATAATGGAGTAAGTGGGTTTGCACATTTATTCTATACAATTACATATTGGCTACACTCAACCACATGCCTATCATGATCTTATTTAAAGTATATACAATGAATTTGCATAATGTAAGAGCTAATTTACATTAAAAACATGCACGATTGGTGGGTCAAAACCCATGATGAGATTCCACTCTCTCATCTACTCAAACATGTTTATAAATTTCATCAAAATTACATACCTTCTAGTTGTTCATACTTTATTCAAAAAATTAATCCTTCCAGTAAATTAGGGATATATGAATGAACTAAGAATACATGTGAATTAGAGCGATCTTGAGAATAGAATGGTTAAGAAAAATGTAAAGAATCGAAAATTAATTACTTGCTGCACCAATAGAGTGCATATTTTTTTTTAGTAGTTCAATCATAAGAACTTTAAAATTAATTGTGCTTGGTAACAACTCATCCCAAGATTCGGATCGAGATTCAAAATTTGGATTTGATACTTGATGGCCCCGACATTTCCTATATTCCTTATGACATTGTCACATTATATACTACTCACTTCTAAGAGTGAAGACATCTTCACATACCATAAACCGTGTAACGACCCTGCTCAGAATTCGGAGTTTGGATGACCTCAGCATTCTCCTGCTACGTGGTCACGTTACTTACTTCTCACTTCCAATAATAAAGACTATCCCGGAATAATTTTCACTGTTAGAAGTGAGGAGTAAGTAACGTGATCATGTCATAGAAATATCGGGGCCATTAGATGCCAAATCTGAATTATGAACTCTAATCTGAATCATTATCAATTGTAAAGCATATGAACTAATTGTCATTTGTTAACATTTAGGGACTTAAGTTATTTAAAAGTAGAGAGACTAAATCATTACAAATTAAAGTTCATACACTAAATTATAACTTTCTTGAATGTTCAACGATCAATAGGGTTGTCACGATCTCACTTTCCATATCAATGTTGGACCCTAATTGTCCACATAGTGTTACATATTCTTACCACCAACAAGGAAAAAAAATGAAGAAATTCAATCCTTTTGACTTTATTTCATTAACTTTTACTTTCAATTTTGATCCATTTATTTCTTTCTTTCCCAAAACTTTCCAAAGAACTATTTCTTAGAAAGCAAAGTCCATTAATTTGCTTTAAGAAAGTTGGTGAATTTTTGTTCACACATCAATATTTCAACCAAACAGCTCACACCCATTTGTTAGATTTTGATTATTAAGTAATAGTTCCACTTCCAAGCTCAATCCTTGGACAATTCAAAAGGTTGGAAAGAAAAGTGGAGACTTTTGGCAGATGAAATGGCATCATGAGGAG